CTCAGAAAATTATTAACGAATAATTAAATATAAGAAATAATTTTAAAACGTTACCGATTATGGGTATTTGGCAATACTTGAAACAGTATTGACGGTATGGTCAGCCAGAAATTCAATTAGTTAAAAAATAATAAAATTTTATTGTTGCAATTCAATACTGTTTTAAAAAACCTCCTATTAAAACCATAGATTCTATAATAGAAATAGTTTCTTTCGTCATAACTGACTATAAAAATCAAATTTAATATATTATAATATTAATATTTATTTTATTCATTTACATCATTAATAGATCGTTAATATTAATACTCGCATGACTCCTTTAAAGCTCCATATATAGCATTTCTCAAAAATATCATCACGATAGGCATACATATATATCTTATCTCTAACATAATTTACTCTAGACTAAATAATAAATAGTTGGAAGTAAATACTATTTACAGCTACAGTAAATCTAAGAGGAACCCTGATTTCATTAAAGATAATAGTGATATACAAACATTTCGTCTTTGAAAAATGGATATAACAAACTATAATATATATTTATCATAGTTACAGTTCTTTAATTTTATCTTTATCTTCTTGATTCTCTCCAAAATTTAGATCTCATTTCAATATATTAATTTATGTGTAGATTAGATTTATATGCATATACTATAAATATATAGAACTTAATCTATTAAACGAAAACGATTGTAATATGACTTCATCACATTTAGTGAAGAATATATTACATTATAAATACAAGTAATCAATAAGATCTCTTTTAATTTTATCGGAAATAAATCGTAATTTAAACAAATATATAATTTGCATATAAATAATATATAAATTTCAAAAAAAAAAAATAAAAAATTAAATTAGTGAAATAAAAACGTGAGACCTAACAAGTAAGACCTAACCTAAAAAAGTAACATAAAAAAAATTAAATAAAACAATTAAAATAAAAATTTAACTAAAATAATCATACATTATGATGCAAAAAAAAGTTAAATAAATATAAAATCAATAAGTAATAAATATAAACCAAATAAATTAAAACTTAAAAAATTAATTTATCACTAAATACAAAAAAATAAAATGAATCCAAATGAAATAAGATAAAGTATAATAAATGATTTATGATTTATAATACAATATGAATGAAATGTATTTCATTTAAAAAAATTTTTATCATTATTTTAAATAAAATTTAAATTTTAAATTTTAATTAAAAATATAAAAGAATCAAATATAAAATAAATACAGTAAAATGATATAAAAATAAATAGAATAAATACTATAAACTCAATAATAATTAAATAAAATAAAAAAATTAAATAAAATTAATTGAATTAAAAATAAAAACAAGCTCATGTGGGTTTCATAAAATCTGAAAATAATAAAAATTCTTCTGATCTAATTTTATTTTTAAAATAAACTACAATATTTCTTCTCTGATAATTTTGATATCCTTTGACTCAGCACCTGGGGCATTAATCTCAGTGTTCGAATAGGTTTAATTTTTACCTATATAATATTTGAGTATTTCAAGTAATCTCTGCATATATTTTTGACAAGAAAACATAATAGAGGAATAAAATTTTTTATATACGGCTCATTACAAAGGGGATGGGTTTTGACCTCATCGCCGCTAATTTGGCTAAAATTTTTATTATGAGTTCCTTACTAAAATAAAAAGGCAATTAAGGGGAAGAAACTCTATTAATCTTCTATTTCGGATTTGAATTTTGACTCTATTTTACTTAAAAACTAACATTTTCAGGATGGTCTTATTTTTATTCGATATATCCGTTAATGGATAGAATGGTAGAATAGTTTTAGAATGGTATTATATTTAAATATTATATTTAAAAATTAATTAATCACACATTTCACATCACACGTAAGGGCCCATGATGAGTTCAAATCAAAAAAAAAAATTTTTTAAGATATATTTTTTGGAATTTCATGCAACCTAAATATTGTCTGCATGCGTTTGATATTAAGAGGTACAAGCCTCCTCAATTCTTCAATTCATTAACAGTTTAAATGTATGATATTGCTTTATCGTCTTTTCTGTAATCATGTAATTTTACTTTACAATCGTGTTTATAATAATCTTATGCAAAAAATCTTACTACGAATCAATAATTCAAAAATTCAATAATTATTATTTCACAACAATTTCATTACTATTAGCTCTATTCCTTCAATTTCTCTTATTTTGCAGTCCTAAAGGGTAATCTTAGTAAAGTCAAGTCTAAAAATCTCGATGCTTTCAATGCTTTCCATTTCCCAAACAAACAAAAGCATCTACTTATATATTATTATAGTATATTATATACTTATACATTATAGAGTCTATATCAATAAATATGTAACAAATATTTCATACAAATTGGCATAGAAGAATAAAAGAAGGTTTATATTGTCACTTCCAGTTGAAGTTGCCAAGTTCAAATAATAAAAGGCCACAATTCTCAGTCAAAGAACTAAGATTTGTAATATTTATATCTTAAAATGATATAGGAATATATATTAAATTTCTCACAGGATACCCTAGAGCTTTTTGAAAATACTAGGCGGATTGATAAATACCCGGCCTAAGAAATAAAAATAAAATCGCATTTTTTTTGGAAAATTATATCTTATGCTTCAATATAGTCCCCTTTTAGCTCGACACACCAAGTCCAACAATTTTTTAATATTTGGATACCTTTTAAATAATACGATTTATTAAGTCCTTCAAAATATACAGTTTCCCATTCCACTTCATCATTTGATGCAAATCTCTTTCTCTGGAGCCATCATTTCAAGTTCGGAAACGGGTAATAGGGAGCCATAATAATAGGTAACAGGTTTTCTTTCCTCGTACCATCGATCCAATAATATGCAATAATAGTCTGATGTTATTGTTCTTCCTTTTTTCAAATAGCCTATAAAATTATTCCACTTGAAAACCAAAATTTTTCCAGCCGATTGTTGAGTTTGTGGTCGTTTGAGGACACTACCATCGGGCTCTACCCATTCTCTGACTTGTTGTTTTCCTTCAGGTGTGAAGTAATAGATCCATGTTTCATCAATTGTCACTACTAGACACTCACAGGCAACTAGATTGTGCATAAACATTTTTAAACAATGAAAATGTTTTGAATGATGAAGTGGTTGTCGTTTTTGGTCAATTGTAAACAAATGTGAACCCATATTGCCGAAAGCTTTTTCATACCCAAATATTAATGTAAAATATTCAATACACAGTCATGTGATTTTTTCATGTGTCATTTCTGCTAATTGGATCATCCAATACAAAATCTTGGATTTTTTCAATGTTTTTTCAGTTGTGACCTCTTTGGACGACCCGGACGCTTTTCATCAAAAACACTAGTTATCCACGTTTAAATACAGCTTTCAATATTATATTATTGTTAAAGATGGCGCAAGGTTGCCGTAAACAGAATCCATTTCCAATTTGATTGCTTCATTGTTCATTCCTTTTAAATGGAAGAACGGTATTACTGAACGATTTTCATTTTTTTCCACTATTGCAATTATTTGCAAAAACTTTAAAAAACATTTGAATAACTCGAAACTTTTACAACTATAGTTTAAAACTTGCCAGAATTGATTTTGTTCTGGTGTTGCCACCTATTCGGAAGTCAAGTAATTATCAATCCACACCTTGTAATATAAAATATAATATAATTTTAATCAAAATTAAGAAAACCTTTCCGCATTATACTTTATAAAAAGCATCTAATATATTTTAGATACTATATATACATTAGGTAAATACTGTTTACTTTGTACGATCGAAGTCAATGATTGTAACAAGATTTCTTGTGGTTTGTGACAATTTACTTAAAAGTTATTTATATCAGTTAACTAAAGGAAAAAGGAAGTATTCATATGAAGTTTACCATTAGACACAATTAACTCAGCGACCTTCTTGTTACTTTGTGGAGATAAATCTTATACAATTTGATGGTTTGGTTTCGTACACAAAGTATCTTAGAATCTCACTAATTACTTTATGATTAAATTCTGAAAAATTCTGTATAAGCAGTAAAAAGTGTAACTTTAGATTTGTACACATTTTACAAATCTCCGAAGCTGAAATGCGAAAAATGTTCGTATGTCGCGCGCAGCCAAGCATAATGATTCAAAGAATTTTCCCACCCACAACAGCTTTTCGCACTGAAATCTAAAACATTTTAGATATTTAATATAAAACCGACGAGCCAACCTCTGAAAACGTTCAGTAGCATTTTGGATTAGAATCTGCAAAATCACATCGCAACCGCGCAATATCCCCTAAGAGAAGAAGATTTCTTACGCTACCTCTAAAAAACAATTCAACTTCAAACAAATTTAATATAAACAGAAAAATGCTAAAATAAAAATAAATTAATTTTAAATCACAAAATAATATATTAAGGAAAATTATATTATTATTAAAATTATGAAAGTTGTTTTGTGTATTTTTATTAAAAACTACAATAAATAAATAAGCTCCAAAAGAGGATGAGCTCAAGTGCTTTGATTGAATTGTTATGAGCGGTTAGTGAAAAATAATATACTGTAGTATTCGACTAATTAAAAATCAAGAGGCTAAGTTCTATGGCACGGCCCAAAAATTAGCACATTTCGATCGACGGATTAAAAATTTAATTTACATATTATTATATAAATGTATAGTAAATTTATATATTAACTATTTGCATGCTACTGAAAGTAGCCTAATAGTGAAGTTCTGGGTATTGTTTTATTGTTTCCATTATTGTTGTGACATCGTGTGTTTAATTTATTTGACATTCAAAATTAAACAATTTCGTTGTTAGATTTTAAAACAAAACCCCCAAATGTGTGACAAGAGAACGCGTGCTTACGTAATTGTGAAAAGTCAGTGAATCAAGTGATCACTCAATCAGTAGACCAGCACAGATCGGGCCCAAATTCCGTCCGAATTGCTGAAATTACTCATTTTACGAATTTTATGATTTAGTGCCAAAGTGAATGTGTTAGAATGTGGTTGAGAACGGAAGGACTTATAGTTCTATTGATATTTTGCTACATTTCCGAATTACACGCTTCACACGGTGTCAGCAGTACCATTATTATTGTAGAGGATGCCAAAGGTAATTGTCAAACGAAGACCAATAATTAATTAAATAATATTAATAATAAATGTTAATAATATTTTTAATATAATTGAAAAGAATTTCACTAATAATAAATGGTCTAAATAAATAAATAATTATGTGTCACTATAAATAAAAAATTACAATGATTAGATAATTAATAATATTTTTTTATAATTTAAAATAATTCTGAAAAATCAAAAATAATGTTCCGACAATATTATTATAAATATTTCAAAAAATAATCAAAAATAATAATTAAATAATATATTATATTTTTATTAAAATTTTATTTTATTAATAATTGTCAAACGAAGAGTAATAATTAATTAAATAATATTAATAATAAATGTTAATAATATTTTTAATATAATTGAAAAGAATTTAACTAATAATATGACTCTAAAAATGCAATAATTAGATAATTAAAAATATTTTTTCATTATTTAAAACAATTCAAAAAAATAAAAAAATAGTATTCCGACAACATTATTATAAAAATTTCAATAAATGATAATATATAATAATTAAAAAAAAAAAAATTTTTTTTTTAAAAAAATTTTATTTTTATAATAATTGTCAAACGAAGAGCAATAATTAATTAAATAATATTAATAAAAAATATAAGTAATATTTTTAATACAATTAAGAAAAATTTAACTAATAATAAATGGTCTATAAATAATTATGTCACACTATAATTCAAAATTACAATGATTAAATAATTAATAATACTTTTTCATAATATAAAACAATTTTAAAAAATAAAAAAATAGTTTTCCGACAAATTATTTTATTATAATAAAATAATTTCAACAAATAATAAAAAATAAAATTTAAATAAAATATATATCTATAAAAATAAAATGAAATAATAAATTCTTATAAAAATTAAATATAATATTAACTTTTTTAAATAATTCTTATTAATTTAATATTAATATAAATTATGTGTTAACTTAATACGACATAGACATTGTTATCTATTTTTGTATAGAGAAAAGTTTCACAATGAACATTTTTTTAACTAATTTAAATAATATAATCATATGTCCAAATTATTTTATTAAAAAGTTCAATAATATAATAATAATAATTTAAAAAAAATTATAATAAATAATATTTCGATTATATTATTATATTAACTTCAAATAATTATAAAAAAAAATTAAATAAAGTGTTTATTTTTTATAGAAATTAAATGTAATATTATGTTTTTAAAAATAATTTACATAACAATAATTTAATGTCTTAACATTGTAACTTATATTTTCGTATATAGAAATAAAGTTTCAAAGTAAAACTATTAAAAATATTTAATAAATTTAAAAATGCAATGGAGATTGAATATTATGATTATAGAAATAAAGTTTTAAAGTGAAACTATGTAAAAAACTTAATAAATTTAAAAAATTTATTAAATATTATAATTATGTGAAATATTGAAATGAAATGTTAAATATTTATAACAATTAAATGAAATATTTAATTTTTATGAATAATTTAATGCCTCAATGAGAAGTTTTCAATAAAGGAAAAGTTAGATAATGAATTATTTTTTAACTGATTTGAATAACTAATATTTAATTATATAATAATTAAATATTAGTAATGCAACAATTTAAAAAGTAATAAAAGTCATAGTGGAACTCAACTAACAGTAGATAAAAATTAAAAAAAATATTAAAAACATAAATATTAATTCTTATTATTTGAAAATAATAATGACTTTAAAGCTAATATCACAAATTAAATTTTTTCATTAAAAATACATTAAAAAATTTAAATTTCAAATTTTTCAACATGATTTAAAATAAATTTAATATAAGTGGTAAACATAAATTAAATTAATGTGAATGATAAATATATATACGGATGAATAAATAAATAATTAATAATATATACGGATTATAATAAATTTAAAAAATACTTTAACTTGATTTAAAAGTTTAATGTAAATGATAAACATTAATTAAATTAATGTGAATGATAAATTAACATTTAAAACATTTATATTACATATATGTAAACATTAATATTAAAATTAAATATTTATAATAATAATTGAATAAAAAATTAATATAAAAATTAAAGAAATTATATGGAATTAAAAAAAAAAAATTAAAATAAATGAAAAAAAAATAATAACATATAGCAAAATAAATGCAAAAATCATATGCAACTAGTTTAGTGTAAAATGAATGTTTGGACTTATTTTTACTCAATTTACTCTGATTTATTTACTAAATATTAACGTTGTCACTAGTTCACTCCTACCGGAAAAATTGAGATATGTCCTAAAATTTTGAGAAATGTAAAATAATCTTAACCTCTGCAGTGAGTAATTAAAAAATATCTGAAATAGAATATACAGTCAAACTTCTCTATAACGAAGTCGTTGGTGTCTACAAAAAACTTTGTTATAGAGAGGTTATAGAGAGGTTGAACAAAATTTTTATTGTTTGAATTTTTTTTTTTCATGTGACTGAGAAATATGTACGTATTTATTTTAAAAATATATTTAATTCATGTTTATTCATATATACATAACATTAAAAACATTAATTGTATATTGGTAAGCCTATAATTTAAACATTGTTACTTTTTCCTTATTAAGGAACTCTTCCTTAATAATCTTCTAATTAAAAAATCTTCTAACAAGTATTTAAATAAATCCGTTATAGAGAGGTTTTTTGGATGCAAAAATATGTTTGCGTACCTGAAAACTTCGTTATAGAGATGAATTCGCTATAGAGACTTTCGTTATAGACAGATTCGCTATAGAGAGGTTTAAATACATGAAAATCGCTGTGTCTTCAACAATACTTCGTTATAGAGAGAAATTCGTTATAGGGAGGTTCGCTATAGAGTGGTTTGACTGTACTTGTTAGTATTTGAAATAAGAACTACTGCCTTTTTTGATGTAAAATGTTTAAATATACTATAGATATTTATTATCTATAGTCCATTGGACTATAGGACTTTAAAGATATTTAACAAATTCATTTGGACTTATGTAGTACAATTATACTAGTATGCTGTAGAATACACATGTAGAATATCATGTGTATTTTAATCTCTTAAAGTCAGCTGGCTTGGATATGCTCTATTGGGGGAATACAATAACGCGGCGATCGAAATAAAAACTAAAATTCTTTAAAAAACAAAACCGATTTTAATACATTTACTTAGTATGGTAGTTGCATCGATGGTTGATTCCAAAGTAACGATGCATCATCGCTGTTGCATTGATTCTGGGATTATCTACAAATCGCGAAGCTCCCTTTATATTAGCAGCAACCATCCCTTAACCATCCCAACCATTAATATCAATAATATATATATAAAAATAATTAGAAATATTTTATTATAAGTCATATATTATTTATTAAAATGATTAATAATTGTAAGGTATAGCAAATATTCTTATAATTGGTAGTATTGAATTATATCAAGAAGTATAGAGTAAAATATATTCTGAGGTATATATTTTCAAATACGTTAATCTAAAAAAAGATTTTAATTTTTTTTTTTAAATTTTTCTTTTAAAATATTATATATTAATTTCAATCATTACTTTTTCCTTATTTAATAAAATCCATTTACTCAATCCATTTACTTAAATTTCTTTCAAACAAATTCTCATTTTTAGTGCTCTTTTATATTAAAGTGGTTATATACTCCACACTTCACCCTGGTTACGTTACTGGATAGTGATGCTATATGTTTTTTCTTCTAATATTTCTTCTAAAATTAGCTTGGGAACTGTGTGAAAAATGACGCCCATAAAAAAGTTCTTTCAAAATATGAACACGAAAGTTCAGCTAATTTAACTAGTGACCTCTTTGACTTTGATTTAGTAGAGTAGAGTTTCCAAAATTTTTATTTAATAATTTTTATTTCGTTTTTTAGTTTTTCTTCTTCAATTTTCTTTATAAAAAATCTCGGTCAATGTTCTTGGAATTGTTTTATAATAAAGAAAATTAAATGCGTATTATAATAATTTGCATAATTTTCGTTACATTGAAGGCGAAGACACAAAGAAGCTCTGACTTTGCTTGGGCCAAGTTCTCGTACTTCTCCACGGCAAAGATTTTGTTTAACATTTACAGAAGAACAAGCACAAGCTAAAGCAGTAACAAAATGATTTAAAGATCGGATGTGGGTAAAGTGTAAAAAGGCAGCACTTTAAGTTCTTCACTTCGCGTTAATAAGTAGCGCAAAAACTTCATTGTGGAAACTTCTTTTTCTGCTGTGATGAAAACTAAACAGTTGAAAAACTCATCTCGATTGGCATCTTAACGGTTGAATGTTTTCAAAAAAAGAGCCCAAACAAATTGTTTCTTAAATTAAATTCAGAATTAATTGCTGCGTCAGCGAGCTAAGCGGGGGATGGGAGTCTCTTTAGGAAGTTTAGAAGAAACAGAAGAAACAAGTTGTGTTTCCTAAACATACGCAATACCAACTATCCGAATCAGTTCTGTACTGAAACATTTATAAATGAAGCTTTTTCATAACCCATCTGTTGCGGTTTCTTACGTTGAAATAGCCGTACGACCTTCGCGTCACACGCCGTTGAATATTGCACTAAACTTCACGCAATGACTAAGTCAAATGAGTTCTAAGACACCAACTTATTTCCATATGTTTATGTTTGATCGTAAACTAAAAATCTTAATTGGCTTTAAATGGTTTAATAATTTGATTTTCAGCTTGTTTCCGGCGTGTGCTAGCCGGAAAACGCATTGCACCGCACTGGGTTAGACGCACTATTGCATGCGAACGTGTCGAGGAATGCATGCGTGAATGCGGCCATGAGAAACGTTTTATGTGTGAAGGTTTCAATTATCGTTTGGATCCATCAGGACATGGTCAAGGCGATTGTGAACTTATAGAAATACCACTTTCACAAATGGACTTATACTCTAGTCCCAACCAGAGAGATTCCAATTTGTTACGACATCCCGACTATGATTATTATGAACGTGATCGCAATGCGCCCTCAAGTTGTCGCAGAAACTTATGTCAAGATTGCGGAAAAGGTGGTTTATCAAGTCGCCCATTATACATTAAGCCAAGCGGTTGGAGTGATAAACCTTATCGAGAAGAACATTACTTACCCTCACCACCTAGTAGCAGTGGCTATGATGACTCAGATAGATATCGCCCACCAAGCAGCACAGCACTAGAACATTACCGACCATCCGGTCCGCCAAGACCACCAATATCATATGACCATCGCCCAGCACCACCTCCACCTCCTTCAGGCTATCACTCCAGCTCATATGAATTTTCATCTCATGGTTCCAGTTATTATGAACACACTCCACCACACAGTTCCGGATATGGTTCCAGCGGTTCTGGTATTGGTCCAATAGACCGTTATGATGTGATACGCCCTGATGACTATCATTATCGCCCGAGTCGTCCAAGTCGTCCAAGTCGTTGGGAATCTATATCAAGCAGTTCTGGTTACGACTCCAGTTCGAAATATGGTCCTAGACCTGGAGATGATCACAGAGATTATCCACCATATCGTCCAAGTTCTTCACATGAGATTACTGGTCCTTCTGGTCCATCAGGTTCTTATTACTCAGGTCCACCACCGCGTCCATCATCGCATAATTACTTAGATCGTGATGGCCCACCAGGTAGTTATAAGAAGACAAGCAAATTTGTGCCCTACTTAATCGGTGGAGATAATAATTGGGGAAGTTATGGTGGCAGTTATGGTGGTAGTTATAACAAATATTCATCCTACTGGGGCTTAAATGAACAGAACAGGCGTAGAGATCCGATTGACTTTAATTATTTTGATTTGGGTGGTTCACGTCCGCGCCCACCACATGAATCCAATTCAGTGCTACACTATCCCGGTTCTGGCTATGGTGGAGATAGCGATAGCTTTAGAGATAGACATGATTATAGACATCAATGGACTAGGCGCCCGGGACCTGATGGTAAGTAAACCATATAATATCGCGAAAAAATATATAAATACACTTCATTTACAAATTTTAGAATGTTCTGCGAAAACGAGCGAAGGCTTTCGTTTACACAAAACAGTTGTCAAGCACGCATACAATGTACCCACACTAACAGAATGTGAACGTTTATGTTCGGGTCAAGATGGATTTATATGTCACACCTACAGTTACAGATACACACAAGCTGGACGTGATAACTGTATGCTCTGTGATCGTCCCGTGAATTTACTCGATTATTACGTTGACATTGAACCAGATCGTGATTATGATATATATTCTATGGCAGATGACTTGGACGTTTGCAGAAAACCTTCACGTAGTGATGGCCCCAGCACGGCATTATCAGATCCAAGAAATGCACGTGAGTATTTTGTCTTGCTATTTTTCTAAAATATATATAAGCATTTTATCGATAAAGGAGGCAAATAAATTATTTATAAATTTTTTCCAGAATGTTTCTTCCGCGCCATCGATGCTACACGTTTTTTCAAATCCATTGTGCGAGACTCTCTGACAGTTCGTTCAGTTGGTGAATGCGAAATGGAATGCATAAAATCCACAAAATTCACCTGTCGTGCCTTCGCCTTCCGGTATGGTCAACAAAGGCATGCAAGTGTCATTGACAATTGTCAACTAAGCGATTGGCCAGTACGCGATATGGACAAGGAAAGACATCTAATATTGGATGCAACTTTTGATGTATTTGAGAGAGCTAGCTATGGTCACGGATGTGAAATTCAACCAATTGTCGATGATAAACATAAGAAATGTTAGTTAATCTATATGAAAAGCAGTAACAAAATTCCTTACAATAACTGTTTTGGTTTGATTTTCTTTTTAGCAGTTTGTTATTTAGGTTATGGATCACCAGCAAAGCTACTGCCAGCAGCTATAAAAAAAGTTATATCTGTGCCTTCAGAGATAGAATGCAAAAAGGAATGTGTACGTTTTAGAGAAACGACATCATTTAAGTGCTACTCATTCAGTTTCGGGTACGAAAAGTTTAGCTTTACTCATAACTGCATAATTAATACGATTTTTTTAATATTTTTAGCTCTCGCTCTAGTTCCTATAATTGCGAAATGTCCGATTTAGATCAAACAGAACTGAAGCTCGATCTTCATTACACGCACACAAATGATCGAGATTATTGGCTTTTTGCTTGGAATCCTTTTGATTGGACTTGTCGCGATAAAGTGAATACAATCGGCGGCAATCGAGTGAATAACGATCGCCGTATGGACATATTCCGCGAACCCGGTAAACTGAAAATTCTAACCTGTTGCACTTCCATACTTGTGTAAATAACCAAATCAAACAAGATTTCAATTACCCGCAACACAGTCTAGCAACTTCCTAATGTGGTGTACCAAGGTCTAACATGTTCTAACAAACAAAAACTAAAAATCTAAGATTAACTTTAAGGGTCCATGATTAATAAACTTTTTATAAAACATGTAAATATTTCTAAAATTACCTTAAACTAGCATTAATATAACTTTAAGTATACATAATTATGCTAACCGTACCTAAACCTAACCGCCTGATGTAGTTTTGGTAACTGGATACAAGTATACTTTAGGTGATATCTATAATAGTCCTTATATTCTTCTTATTCACATAAAAGGCGATGTAGCTTGGCGACATTACACCGTAACTGGAAAACCATGCAGACGCAGCAGCCCATGTGAAAAGAATCTGGTAACTGGCTTCTACTCTTGCGAAATAGATGGAGGTGAAGTCGGATCTTGGGATTACTGCTGCAAGGCAGATCACCCCTGTGGCTACTCACAGGGGTTCGATTATCCATGGTAAATACATTACAAAAATAACAAAGTAATCTTTCAAAATATACAATGTTGTTATTGAATAGGTGTCCTGTTGGTGACGAACCAGATCAATGGCGCAAATGTAGTGATCGTTATTATCCAAGCAATAATACATTAACACATTCCGCAATAACACTGCCACCTAGTAAAAATAAGAAAAAACCTAATTCCGGTAATAATAACGAATATCAACATCCTCCACGTCCAGGTGGACTACAAAGTTTAAGCGATTTTGCAGCCGCCCGTTTATGGCCAGTAACGTATTTATATAGTGAAGGACCACCCAATTCGACTGAATTTAGCAATTTTGTCGATTGTAATAAGGAGTCCTGTTAGATATACGTCAACTTAAATTAACTTAACTTGTAATTAATTTAGTATCCGTTGGTTAGTTATAAAAGAAACTTTTAACATTCCAAACATATCAACTTTGGCTCTTAACAAAATAAAAATATTATATCAATTGTGATTATCAGAAGAGATTTAAAATCAAGGTTCTATGTGTTCTACGCGAAAAATATTTTTGTATTGCATTTCTTTAGTTCTAAGTTTTCAAATATTTATACATGATAATTTAATTTAAATATATATATATTTTAAACCGATGAAATGTTAGATTTAATGTAAGAGAATATAACATAACTAAAAAAATTACGTGTATATTAATATTTAAATTTAATATAATAAAATTTTAAATATTATCATTAATATTGTTTTTTTTTAAATGTATGTTAACAGATGGTAATATTTTTATAGTATATATTATGATATTATATATTAATATAAATAAAATTAATATTTTTGTAATATTAATATATACTATATAAATATATAAATCATATATGATACTAATATAAATATTAATATGATTCATATATTAAGATATATTCCTTGCTAAATCGATAAGGCAAAATCACTAATGCCAGAAAACTAGGTATGATTCTAGTTTTTTAGGTACTCTGATTTGATGGCGAATTCTTGTAAAATCTGTTTTTCTAATTGCCTTAAAGCATAGTAAAACCCGGGATCTATCACTAATGAAATAACGATATATGTAGCCTCATTTGTTAAAATACTTCTACACTTAAACTACATAATACAATATCTAAAAATATTTAAAACTTGGACAGGATATTCCAGTTAATTTTTTTATAATATCACTTTCAACCTCTAGACGAAACAAAATTTTTTAGAACTGTTTTGATCACCTCAATTAAAACTGAGGGATTTTTTTCCGTTAAGTCTAAAACATCGAAAACCATAGTGTGACACTTGAATCCACTAAAGCCACCTCTTGGGAATGGAAAATAAGGAATTTCAACATTTACCGAAAATTTAGCATCTAAATAACATATATCAAAATTGGAAACAAGTGTGGGGAAACAAGTATAAATAGCTTTGTTTTAATAAAGTAAAGTAAACAAAAAATATTACAACTTAGAAAATGTCTGTAAAATGAAAATAAATAATAAATTATTTCATTCAAATGTAAAGTACCTGCAACGAGTTTCAAACTTTACAGTAACTGCTTAACATTTTAAGCAGCATACACAGTTTGAAAGGTATTGTAAAAGTCATGCCAGTTGAACATCTGTTTGAATAAAAACAGCTGATATTGCTTAACGTGTGATTAGCCTTTGCCAAAATATTTTAGTAAATATTTTGTTTCTTTTCTTTCTTAATATGAATAATAGACTACTAACAAAGTTTATAGCAATCAGTACCACAGTATCCGGTGCCTTTCTCTTAGGTCGCTATACAGAACGACAACAAAGTAACAATGGAAACAATGTACAAAAGGTTAGTTTGCTGCTCATATGATTTTTATGCAAAGTTTACATAACTAAATCCATAGCTTACACCAAAACCTGGTCTACCAATTTTTGCTACTGTTTCTGCTGCCGTACCAGTACCCGCCGATGAAGTCAACCTCACAGCAACACCGACACGCATATCGCAAATTATGAAATTTGGCTTTCCAAGTCTGGATCATGTACGTTCATATTCAGACTTCGTGCTCTCATATGACCGAAAAAATCGTGTACCACATTGGGTTTTTGAACATTTAACAGCAGAATCTGTTGCTAAAAATGATGCAGTTGATCGTTCTAAATGTGACTTCAGAGCTGATGAAAGCATACACCCATTCTTTCGTGCGCAAAATACAGACTACCGACGTTCTGGCTTTGACCGTGGTCATATGGCAGCTGCTGGCAATCATCGTCGTCATCAAAAACATTGTGAAGATACATTTTATCTTTCGAACATGGCACCACAAGTTGGACAGGGTTTTAATAGAGATTCATGGAATCGCCTAGAGTCTTATGTGCGGAAATTAACTAAAACGTATTCAAATGTTTATGTATGCACAGGTCCACTATATTTACCACGAAAAGAAGATGATGGCAATGTGTATATTAAATATCAAGTAATAGGAAATAATAATGTTGCGGTTCCCACACATTTTTATAAAGTTATTGTTGGTGAATCGGCAGACCAGAAACTTGAAATGGAGGCATATGTTATGCCAAACAAAGTGATAAGCGATGACACCCCACTACAAGTTTTTCAAGTGCCACCAGAGACTATTGAACGCGCTGCTGGACTACTATTTTTTGATAAAATTAATCGCAAGCAACTTACAAAAATTAATGGCATAAAAACGTGAAATACAATGTTAAATTATAGCTTATTGAAGGATGGAAAAATTATTAAAGTTATTATTTAATAATTATCTGTGCAATATAGAGATAAGAGAATGATTTATTATAAACGTTAAAATTTAAATTTAATATTATAATTATATTGTTAATTTATTTTATTTGTTATTGCCATTGAGTTTTCTGTTTTATTTGTTACAGTGAACAACGTTCAAACAAGGTTTAGAAAATAGCACAATAATAAAAAAGAGAATAATAAATAATTAGTAAATAAATAATAAACGAAATAATAAATACTTATTTAATTTTAAAATGCTTAATTTTAAAATTAATTTAAATGGTTTTTTTAATATATTCTCGCTCGACTTCGCTAAAGATTTTACAGATTCTAAATTGTTATAAATATAGAATATTATAATAATAGTAGACTAAAAAAGTTTTATAAAAGATAATAGTTTTTACTTAAAGTTATAAAATGCAATATAAATATAAGTTTCTTATGAAGTGAAAGACATGTGTATATATAGATGATAGCCTTCTAATACTAAGTGTTAATAATAATATTATAATATTTTATAATGTTGTATTTGTTATAATATCATTATGAATTTTTCAGATATAATATTAAAAACTAAAAAAAAAATTTATTGTTAACACAACTATCATTGTTGTTGTTATTATATCACAGTTGTAAGGAGTGACCGACACTTGTACAGATGTAAAGACAACTAGCCCCGTGACGTAGACCCTGAGTCTATTACTATTAATTTAATTTGATTGTAACAAGTATATTTATTAATATTCTAAACATATATTTTATAAAGTTCTAGAAATAATAACAAATCTTAACAAACGAAAACTAGCTTTGAAAACCATACTGGAAAAATGTAAAGTAAAAATATTATTTTGTAAAAACAATGATAGGAATAATGATAAGACACTGTTACCACAAAAATTATATACAGCTTAGTTTATTACTCAAAGCACTTAAAAAAGATAAATAATTTAGCCTTTGCGGTTATAATTTGAAGTTAAGTTTTTAACAAACTCAAAGCATTTAACCTGTCAAGGATATTTAATATGATGAAATTAGGAAGAACTCTCAATTTTTAGGTATTCTAATTTAATTAAATTAGGAAATTCTATTACTAAGCTTCCTAAGTCTCGCCCCCTGATCAGTGGTAATCGATTTCAGCTAGATGTCCTTCACAATCTGTTGGCTAAGATCTTCTCAACTCATTTCTAAGAGGTGGAACTTATTCTATCTATTCTATTTTTCCCAATAAATCTTTATTAATATTGGCGTAATATTTCTACCAAGACTTTCCACAATAAATATTGGCGCAATATTTCCTGAAAAGCTATATAGTCAGTTTATTTTTTGATTCTACACACCTTTTTTATTATATTATACTTTTATTCTAAAAGTAAAGTCAACTTTTCCATATTAAAAACAATCGGTCTCCAAGCTTCTCTCATTATAACTGATAAGGTTTCGATGCTCATAGAATTCTTTCATTAAAAATCGTTTGGCTAAATCTATACTCTATATTATTAACAGCAATTTACCAAACACTAATAATTCTAATTAAATCGATTTTTATCTCCGATATTTATCCAAAGTTCTGAATGGTTACTCGTATATTCCATGACATTAAATTAATAATAAATTAACAAATACAAGTTTTAGGACTACAGGATTTTTAATTAATTCAATATCATTTGAGGTTCATAACAAAACTCTTAAGCAAATTTAATTAAAAATACATATATAAATTAATAGTTTTTATTAAGCGATTAATAATGATTTTGCGAATAATACTCGCAATGAAATAGTTTCGGAACTAAACATTAAATATCTTACTTTTAAACAGTATTAGAAAATGTTATGTTGAGAAAATAAAATAAAAATAAAAGTGAAGCAATTTGAAAGCATTTTTCTAATGCTTGTGATATTCTGTTATGTGTGGGTGTGAAAATGATTTGATCTATTTATTGTCCATTATTTTTGGAGCGAACATCATCAATTTTAAGTATCATTTTGACGAGTTGCGTTGCTAATAGTATTTGTTGTTTCTTGGAATGCAAGGATTCAACAACATTATGATGTTTCATATCTGAATTTCCAGTTAACATACAGTCAACGCCAATACTTGGGCGATTTTCGGCATTTTGACGAGATTTCAGCTCTGATAATGTTTCAATTGGATGTAAACCACTATTTTCAGCCAAAGCTAATGGTATATTTTCCAAAGCTACAGAGAATGCGCGGAAAGCATACTGTTCCAAAGTAGATAATTGATCAGCTTGTTTAGCAACAGCAAGAGAGCAACTAATTTCAGCTGCACCGCCACCATAAACAATACGGGAATCCTATTAAAATAGTATTATTTTAATAATCAGTTTTTTCCCATAGCAATATTATTCTTACCTTAACCAAAGACCGTACTACGCAAATGGCATCATGTATTGAACGTTTGGCTTCAGCAATAATCATAGCATTACCTCCACGTAAAAATATGGTAACAGCTTTTGAATTTTTGCACTCTTCAATAACCAACATTTTATCCTTAGAAGTACCGAAAGCTGAATATATATAATATTAAATATTTTGTTATTGCTTGGACTTCATAATAATAAAAATATTAATAATCTCACCTAATTCTCTAACTAAACCAGCTGTGCCTAGTTTCTCTGCAGTAAGCTCTTCAAAACGCGGCACGATTCTTCCACCAGTAGCAATAGCAATAAGTTCGATTTCAGGTCCACCAACCCAGCGTACAGCGGGTAAGTCATGTTGTAACAATAAATGATTAGCTTCATCATCGAAACCCCATTGACAAATGGCTAAAGTAGCACCAGCATCCTTGACTTGCTTAACCATTTCCGTGAATTTTTCCTGCTCATATTCACGCAATGCACGATACTCTTCGGCAGATTTAACATCCAACTTATGTTTTGTTTTGGGTTTTGGTGGTTCAAATGGGCAGGTAAGTATAGCGAGTTTCACATTTTTCAGTTCCTTTGGCATTTGAGCGTGACTCATTGTCTTATCAACTACAACACCTTTGACCAACATTGAATCTTCCATACGTCCACCGACTTTCGTTTCAATTTTGATCAATTCGAAATTCACATCCTTCTTTTCGATATCAGCAACATTTAGCACAGCATCTACTGCCATTTCAGCCATCTGACGATGACATTTATTAACAATTTTGCTCCCTAATGTAGTCATAGCAATCTGTATAAGTGGTTCCTTATTTTTAGGATCAACGGGGAAAGGTTCTGCTATTGATTCTAATTGCTTGACAGCACACTGTGCAGCTAATTCAAAACCATCAGCAATACGTATTGGGTGGATGCCGCGATCTAACAGACTCTCTGCCTGTTCCAGCAGTGCACCAGCCAAGACCACAACACCAGTAGTACCATCACCGATCTCATCATCTTGCGACTGAGACAATTGTACCATAAGTTTGCCAATCTCATGATCAACTTCCATCATTTTCATTATTGTAGCGCCATCATTGGTGACAGTAATATCACCATCAGCAGTTACCATAATTTTATCTAAACCTTTGGGACCCAAAGAAGTTTTTATGGTGGAAGCAATTTGGCGGGCAGCTAAGATGTGGCTCTAAAATAAAAATACAAACAATTTCACATTTAATATGTTATTTAAAATAAAGTATCATTTTCTCAAAAACAAAAACTCATGACGGCACTGTTTATTAGTCACTCATCGAGGCATTTTTAACCTCAAATTATTATGACGTCATGAAAAGCCGACTGCTTATTTTAAGTTTATTTTAACTTATAAAATTAACAAATTTAATATTATGAACACAATTAAATACGGTTTTTGCATTTAAAAATTGTTATAAATTAAAATGTTAAGTTGTTTGCATAAATTTCTTAGTATATGCGAACAAAACAAAACATCTGGAAACTTCTAAAGAACTTGTATTAAAACACCTGATAAACGCTTCTGAAATAATTTATTTAAGCAAAAGTGTTTCTTTTGCAGGAAAAATTTACATCCACCCA